TCGAATGCCGGGCTGAGGTGGCGCTAAACTCTATAAACCCGGCCGAAGTCATTGCACAGGAACTACAAGGAGGGGCCCCCCCCTAGTTATAAGTAGAGTTATAAGGACCTTAAATTGGGTTATAAGGATCCTAACTCAGGTTATGAGTCCCTTAACTATAGTTAGTATAGTAAAGGGGCCCCTCCTCGTACTTGTGAACCCGAAGAACATACCTCCATTTGAGTACCCGACAGACCTTGAAACCCCTGAACCTCCACGACCCTAACTCCTACACCCTGTCCCTAAACCCTGAACACACGTGTGGGAGCTTCTGGATTGGGCGGTCCCTCTTGCTCATCAGGGCCTGGTTTGGGGGCCGGCGAGGCTTCCTCCCGCCTCCAGACGATGTTGCGAAAGGGCGGGTGGTTAGGCGCCCGAGCCCGAGCCCGAGCCCGAGCCCGAGCCCGAGCCCGAGCCCGAGCCCGAGCCTCGAATTCAGCCCTAAAAACTGTTGAATCAGGCAGGAGGGCCCTGAACACGCATGGCCATTCCTCTACCCGAATAACGCCCTGTAGGAGCTAGCCTATGAGACCCATAAGACGCCTACCAGACCCTATAAGACGCCACCAGCCCGTATAAACCCTAAACCCTAAACCCTAAACCCTAAACCCTAAACCCTAAACCCTAAACCCTAAACCCTAAACCTATAGACCCTAAGTTCTAAACCTGAAACCTCAAGAGCCGATCGTTTCCCGAAGAGAGGCGGGACACCCTCCACATCGTGATGGACTGGGCAGAGGCTTGTGTACGCTGTTTTTGTTAGGGTTTAGGGTTTAGGGTTTAGGGTTTAGGGTTTAGGGTTTAGGGTTTTGTAGTAGTACGTTGTACTTACTGGTTCTGAACGAGTGAGGTAGGCCCAGTATCCGTATAAGCTCCGTGAATCCCTCTATGCTTGGGTTTAGGATTTGGGGTTTGGGGTTTAGGGTTAATTAAGGGTTTAGGGTTTAGGGTTTAGGGTAGAGTATCCTGTCAACAACGTGAGCCCAATGCGAGCTGACAGCAGCAGCAACCCTAAACCTACAACCCTAAGGGTCCATGTACCTAGAGAGGGAATACTTGGGCCTTAAAGTGCTTCATATATAGGGTCTTTGGGGCCCAAGTATAATGATAAAGCACATGGACCCTTAGGGTAATGTAAACTACATGCCATACCCATTCCGGCCCCTCTTCTTACCCCATCCCCTGAAGTCCCTAGACCCTTAGCCCTATAAGCCCTGAAACCGCTAGAGGCCTCCGCCTAGGCGCGACAAGCCCCATGAGCCTTAATGTCCAGAAGCCCCAAAACCTCAAACTCCCCCCAAAATCCTCAAGTACCCAAAGTCCCTGAAGAACCCCAAAGTCTAGAACCTCTGCCCCACCCCTGAATCTTAAGCCCTAACACCCTAACCCAAGCACCCAAAGTCCCTGAAGCCCCGCAAGGTCTAGAACCTCCACCCCACCCCTGAACCCTAAGCCCTAACACCCCAAACCCAAGCACCTATGAGTCCCTAAGATCTACACGGGTGTTTCCCAAAATAGGGGTACCCCTTTTATACCCCAAAAATAGAATCGAATCCCCTGGAAGAGACCCACGAAAAGGGTACCCCCCTACCCAGACCCTTGGGAGGATCTAAAAAAGTAGAGAACCCCCAAATGGTAGCCTATAGACTACTAGTGGGTGATTCTTAGGAACACTTCTGGGGCTGTGTTTTTGGATTTTTTCAGGGGTCTGGGTATTTGCTACTAGTTGCTTAACAACCCAAAAAAATTAAGAAATATATTTCTCCTGATTAAGGGTAACATAGGGATTATTATTTGTTTGTTCTGTGTGGGTTCTTAAGCAAATAGTGGCTTGCGGAAATCGCCACAAATTTCCTAACGTCCAACTCTCGAGGGCGGCACCCTGGCAAACATCTTAGCCTCGGTGCGTGCGGTGGGAAGGCGCTGTTGAGGGTTGAGGGGTTTAGGGTTTAGGGGTTTAGGGATTGAGGGTGTATTGAGGGTTTAGGGTATAGGGATTGAGGGTTTTTAGGGTCTGGGGGCTTGCAGTGTTTTGGAAAGGGGTTTCTCCTTTTGGAGGGTTTAGGGTTTTTCGGGTTTAGGTTTTAGGGTTTACGGGCTAGGGATTGTGGGTTTAGGCGACCGGCTCGGTAGGATAGGTATTTCGGGGCAGCTCCTGGAAAATTGTGTTTGTTGGTAACCGTTGGTACTTAGATGTGTTTTGGGTTGGCTATTCTTCTAGCGGTCCACAGAAATAGCAGAGCGGGGCTCAAAGTATCTTACGCTCCTCATCGGCACCGCGACTAGTAGACGAGCAACGCAAACATGACGACCGGCGAGGCACGTTGCAGACGATATTCATTGCTCCTGCTGCTCCGCTGCTGCTCCGCTGCTGCTCTGCTGCGGGTGAAACTGCGCAAGCTTGAACGAAGTTCTGCTGAGAGGGTTGAAAATTAAGAATCAGGGAATCTGGCAGGGGTTTGAAGTCCCTGGAGACACATCAGGAGTGTGTTGCGAAAGCCCCAGGGCTTCGAAAGGAGTAGAATCGGGAATCAGAAGAGGCTACAAGATTCGTGGGATCTCAAGCGGATTGAGAAAAAACAACGAAGCTTGAGGTGCTTCTATGTTTTTTTTTTTGGGGGGGGTGGGGGGGGGGGGGGGGGGTGGGGGGGGGTGGGGGGCGGGTGGGGGGGGGGCGGTGGGGGGCGGGTGGGGGGGCGGTGGGGGCGGGTGGGGGGCGGTGGGGGGCGGCGGTGGGGGGCGGGTGGGGGGCGGGTGGGGGGCGGGTGGGGGCGGGTGGGGGGCGGGTGGGGGGCGGAGCGCTTGCTGCAAAAGCGTTGCAACCTCAACCCCTATAATCCCCTTATGAACCCTACACCCAAAACTGCCCTAAAACCTTCTAAGCCCTTAAACCCTAAACCCTAAACCCTAAACCCTAAACCCTAAACCCTAAACCCTAAACCCTAAACCCTCCCAAAGCAGCGGCACTGGCGATGCAGGAGACTCCCGGAGCCTTGGGTCTGCACAGCGGCGCAGCAGATCTGTGCAGCCCTGGAGTACATCCATCAGAAGGCAGTTTGGGGAGTTTAGGGTTTAGGATTTAGGGGCTAGGGTTTAGGGTTTAGGGTTTAGGGTTTAATTAGGGTTTAGGGTTTAGGGCTAGGGTTTAGCATTTAGGGAGTATAAAGCTCAGGGGAGACAGGGATTTTTTGGGTTTGGGGTGTGTAAAGTTCGGGGTTTGGGGGATCGAGGGTCCATCGGTAGCGGGCTTAGGGGTGTGCAGTCCTGAGAGGTTTGGGGGCCTTAGTGTGCGGGGTTTGGAGCTTTGGGGTTTTTGAGGCTATGAGGTTTTGAGGTTAGGGTTTTGGGGTTTGGGGCGTTTAATTGAGGCTTTTCCGATTTAGGGTTCCGGGGGGGGGGGGGGGGGAAGTTTAGGGTTTAGGGTTTCGCTCTTAGCAGCTGAGTGAGAATATTTTTCACTTTTGATGATACTATAATCCCCTATAGAGCTGAAAGTGTACACTGTCTGGGGCTTACGAACTCAGCAACTAAGCCGTTTGAGAGGGTTTCCAACCCCAAGTTCTGCTAGGCTTTGTATGTATGTACGTATGTATGATAACATTAAGGGGCTAACCCTAAACCCTAAACCCTAAACCCTATATTAATATGGGTAGTAGCAGGGTCCTCCTAGTGTTCCTCGAGGTTTAGGGCTTGGGAAACCCCAAAGTCCCCAACGCTCAACCCCAAGCCTAAGCTTCCTGAACATCCCTGAACCCTGAATCCTTTGTGTGGAGCACGAGATGCAGTGTTCCGGTTCTGGTTGAAGGAAAGTATGTTACCAGAGGTGAAACTGCCGACTTTGTGCTTGTGGAACCTACGACTGTACAGCTGTTGAAAACGTTTAGGTATTTTATATCCCGTATTGAGGCGAGATTTCAAAGCGCCTTTGTTCCACATGTCAAAGTCAAAACCACCGATTCGACCGCAAAGCTGAGCTGGTCGCAGCGCACACCCGGTTTGACAAGCAGGCCATGTCATGAGTCCCTTTGTTTCCATGCGGCTTTTGTCGACCTTCGTAGGCAATTAGCAACTAAGACATCGGTAAAGAGGCCAAACTTGTCATTCCGACCTGACTTGTGAGATATGAATTCATTGTTAATTCGTTTTGGATAATTCGTTTCCTGATGTCGGCTCGTTAATTTGGTGCTTAATTTCGTTGAGGCGTTGTCTCGGACTGACATTGTACAAAAGGCATAGAGGCCCGCATCGCTAGCCTCCTTGCCCGTGGATCGACCGACCACACAAGTCCGGATGAACCCTGAATCCTAAACCCTAAACCCTAAACCCTAAGCCCTAAGCCCTAAGCCCTAAGCCTGAAACCTTCATGTTAGGGTCTGGGTTTTGGAGGGCTATACTTTAATGCTATTTTTTTGGCCTGGGTTCCTATGATAGCTACTTATACCGTTTGTTTTTCCAGGGTCTACTCCAAAGTGGCGGCTGTGTGTGGTTCTCATGAGTTGAAAGTTGATGGGTAGCGATATAGGGCTATATGTGCTGTGGTTGATGCAGCTACCCTGCGTACAACCCCGCTTATCAGTACGACATGAAGCAAGACACTCCGAATCCACAAGTCTTGCTTGGAGGTTCAGGGTACTTAGTAACCAACTATAAGTGTAGTGATAACTGTACTTACAACCAAATTAGGGCACTTAAGGGGCTTATACGTGGGCTATTAGTACAGTTATAATTGGTTAACAAGTACCATGAACCTCCAAGTGTCAGGGGACTTTCGAAACTGGAGCAGCCCCCCATATGCACCCCCTGAACCTTCAAGCAATCCCTTAGCACGCTCGGGGGAACCGTCACTCTGTTCTTGACCCTAAAACCCTAAACCCTAAACCCTAAAGCCTAAACCCTACTAGTCTCCCAGGGTTCCCCTGAAACAGGGGGTGGTACACTGCGACCTCAAGCCTGAGAACGCCATGCTCCTGCGGGCGACCGACCCAAAAAGGTCCACTGCGGAGCTTGGGTTGTTTTAGGGTTTAGGGTTTAGGGTTTAGGGTTTAGGGTTTAGGGTTCAGAGGAGGGGGTTGGTTGGGGGTTTGGGGTTTCGGCATTCAGGTGGTTTGGACGGTCTTGTGGGGCTTTAGAAATTTACAGGGGTTCAAGGTTTAGGGTGTTTGGTTTGCTTTGAGCTTCAGGTGGTTAGTATAACCCTAGACCACCGCTTTCCCTCATAGGCGCCATCAAGATCAGTACAGGCTGGGTTTGCTTGTGGCTCCCCAGTTACTGCGGAACCCAAGGTTTGAAGTTAGTGGTTTGGGATGTTCCCCCTTCTACTCGCAGTCCTTCACAGGGATTAGAGTACCCCCTACTGCAATCGCCACCAAGGACTGTTAGTATAGGTGGGGAACTTCCCAGGTAGTGGTACATAACCATTGTACATAACCATTGTCTGCCTTATCCCTAAGCGCTGCTTGGAATATGGGTACCGTCGCGCTTGCTGAAAAAGGAGGGGTTTCAGCTCAAGAACCAACTGCGCTGTAAGGCGTGAAGGGGAGGTTGGGGAGTGGGGGACCAAGCATGCCAAGCGACGCATGTTCCTCAGTCTATCTATAGAGTGAGAGTAGCGTACATAATACGCTCTCGATAACGACTTTGAATGTATCCTTTGGGTTAACTTAGTAGGCTAGGCTTGGTGGCATGTTGCGCATGTGTCGAAGGTGAAGACTTGTCCTTGCACGGCCTCGTAGTAGGTATATAGGGTTTGGGCTTTTGGGGTTTGGGGGTTTAGGGCTTTTGGGTTTAGAGTTTTGGGTATCGCGGTCTACGGGGTACTGGCACCGTGGAATCACGCGACCATGAATTAGGGGCCCAAAAACCACATAAACAGAAGGATCCCACTATTGCCCCCCCCCCCCCCAATAACCCCTGCAATGCAAGAAAGAACAGAGACCTTCAGTCCAAAATCATTATGCCAGGGAGGAAGCTCCGCACATCGTGTTGGTGGATTTCGGCATCTCAGAATTCGTGGAGGCTTGGCTTGGGGTTTAGGGCTGAGGGTACGCAGCCTGAAAGACAATCCCTAACTTAAAACCCCTCAACCCTAGAGCCAACAAAGACGCTCCTCTACGAGTTTCGGGGTTTAGGGCTTAGGGGGTGTTTTAGGGTTTCAGGGTTTTTTGTCGGTTTTTTGCGGGGAGGTCTTGGGTGCTTATGGTTATAGTTTAAGGGTCCTTAAGGGAGGGGGGGTTCAAGGGGGATAGGTAGCTAGGGAGCCTTAGGGAAGCATAGGGAGCCTTAGGGAGGGAACCTGCGGTTCCGTACCCCCTTGAAACCCCGCCCCCCCTCCCCTTAAGAACCCTGGGTTTAGGGTTTAGGGTTTAGGGTTTAGGGTAATATAGGCATGGGATGCCCAGAAACCTCCACTAGCAGCCACCTTCCTGGGGTTCAGTTTTCTTGCGAAGAAGAGTGCGATGAGTTGCGTCACAGAGGCTCAAAGCTCCGAGAGGGCCACCCCAAAAAAGGGTTTTGGGGGGTAGGAGGGTTTAAAGCTTCGGGTTTACAAGCACTTGTGCAAGCTTGTTATTTTTTGGGGTGGGGGGGTGGGGGGGTGGGTGGGGGGTGGGGGGGGAGGGTGGGAAGAGGGGGTGAGGGAGGCTTCGGGGGACCCGGTCCCTAGAGGGCAAGCGGAGACAGACTGAAAGCAAGGAGAGCTGCAAGGGTCGATTCGCAGGCGATCAGCGAGAAGGAGCACAGTTGCGGTGCTCCCCCTTAGGGTTTCGGGTTTAGGGTTTAGGGTTTAGGAATGAGGGTTTTGGGTTTAGGGTTCAGGATTCAGGCACGTCCCTGGTTGCAGCAAGAGCTGCTTGGTCAAGCGTTGCGACGCGCTGCTGTGATGACGTGGGCCGGAGCTTCTCGCAGCTACTGGTAAGAGACCCCAAACCCTAGACCCTAGACCTTAAACCCTAAACCCTAAACGCTAAACTTGTGGTGTTTCTAGATATATAAGTTGTGTATGCCCTGTTTCTTCCTGAGCCCTATTTGAGACAGACGCCCTCCACAGCAACAACTCCTTCCGCAATTCCGGAAGACCGGGAATGTCCGATATGCCTAGGCACAGAATCTGCTTCAATCATGAACCTCAACACCCCATATCCTATGCCCTATAAACTAAGCCCTTTGACCCCATATCGCCTCCCGAGCGCCCGAGAAAAAGCCGTCCCCAAACCCTAAATCCTAAACTCCAAACCTTACAAAGCCGACGGCTGAACCCCTAAACCCTAAACCCTAAACCCTAAACCCTAAACCCTAAATCCTAAACCCTAAACCCTAAACCCTAAACCCTAAACCCTAAGCGCCCCAAGACTTTCATTCCAGGCGCGGCACCTCGCGGGTCCCTTGAAGGTGGCGTGGAGGGTGCGGGAAGCTTTTTGGAAGACCCCAAAATCCCACAATGCCCTGTGAGCCCTAAGAAACCGTATGAATCCCTATGCGCCCCATAATTGAAAAGCCTAAACCCTAAACTCGAAAGCCTAAACCCTAGCCAACATCACTTGGTCCAAAAACGCCGCGTCGAGTTGAACTGAGCCTTGTGGGCCTCTCAGGGTTAGGTATCAGCCCAATACCAGGGCCTGAATAATTAGAGTAGGGTTTCGGGTGTTATTCTAGTATCATTATTCTCATGGGACCATGAGGGAATACTATTAGTAATTATTCCGACCACTATAGTCCGAGCCCTATGCCTGAAATCCAAAACCCTCAGCCTTACCTGGGACTCTATTCACCTGCAGTTGAGTAGTATTAGTAACTTCCCTTCATTAGTAGGTATAACCCATGAAACTGTAGGTAAAGAGGGTCCCAAATAAACCCAAAAAGGGTTGAAACCCTGAACTCGAAGTTGGGCAGAGCCCTAAACTGTTCACCCGGCTCCCGCCACTCTCAGATTTGTTCTGCCCTAAACCCTAAACCCTAAACCCTACACCCTAAACCTGAAGCTCGGAGCCCTAAACCCTAAACCCCGAGGTCCAAACCCTAAACCCTAAACCCAGAATCCCTCCGCCCTGGGAAGGTCCGCGGCACGCCGATGTACCTCTCGCCCGAAGGATTTGAGGCCTAAAGCCTATTTGGTTTAGGGTTTAGGGTTTAGGGTCTAGCGTTTAGGGTTTAGGGTTTAGGGTTTAGGATTCCAATCAATCCTGTGAACCCTGTAAGCCCTCTAATCCCTTAAAGCCCTAATGAACCCTAGAAACCCTGATCACCCTTATACTAACAGTCCTTACTTGGGAGTTTTTGCACCCCCTAGTATAATCCCTACTAAGGACTGTCAGTATAAGGGGGAACATCCCAAGTGGGTTTTTCGGCACTTCTAGGGAATTAAGTTGGGTGGAGGCGAGGGGGAGGGGGGGGGGAGGGGCGCGTTTTCAGGACCTTTCGGGTTCTTTAAGGGATTTGTTTTCTTCTTAAGGAGGGGTCTAGGGTTTGTGGTTTAGGGTTTAGGGTTTAGGGCTGTAGGATTGTGGGGGATCTAGGGGTTGTGGGTGTTTTGGGTTTGAGGGTTGTGGGTTGACTCGCTCGTTTCATTCGCATCTGCCTCCTCCGCTTAAGGCTCGCGCTTGACAGGCGCCCAGGGCGTTTGAGAAAGAACTTGAAAAGGTGTAGGGTTTAGGGTTTGGGGTTTAGGGGCTTAGGGCTTAGCATTACCCTCAGCCTGAACTGCTCTAAACCCTAACCGCTGCAAGCCCCGGCCCTCCGTACCCCTGAACCCCTGAAAGCCCTACTGAATCCTAAACCCTGGATCCCTAGCACCCTAAATGCCCAAACACCCTAAACCCTGCGACAAACCCGAACTTAACACCAAAACCCGTAACGCCAAGCCCTGAACCCCGAACACCAAAACCCGAAAGGGGCACCTCACCGAGAAGAGTGACCTCTGGGCCGTCACCTCAGGAGGTCTTGGCTGCGTCGTTCTGTAGTGGGTTTAGGGTTTCGGGTTCAAGGTTGGAGGAGGGGAGGGGCGGGGGGGGGGGGTTTGCAATTGTGGGTGTTTTTTTGGGTTTGGGGGATGTGTTTGGGTTTCATGTAGGCGTTTTGAGGCCATGAGTTCAGGGGCATGTTGGAGTTTTGGGTGTTGAGTGAAGTTTGTGGTTCAGAGGGGGTTTAGGGTATCACCCACTCAGGTCTTCGGGGTTTTTGAGTCATGAAGCCCTCTGTCGGGGGTCTCATCTCTGCACCCAAAGCTCCTTTACAAGCGCTCGCCCAAGGCACTCGGGGTGGTGATTTTCGAGATGCTGTTGGGCCGGCGGCCCTTTCAGGCCCAGCGTGGAAGCTCTCAGGGCTTAAGCCGGGGTTTTCGGGCCTAAGCCCCAGATGCCAGACCCTACCCACGCGAACCCGAAACCCTAAACCCTAAACCCTAGAATCCCTAAACCCTAAACCCTGAACCCCTGTTTGGGGGTTCAAAGGTTCGGGCGCCTGGCCTTGGCACTTTTTTTGGCAATTTCTGATGGCGCGCCCTAACTACAGGGACCATGGCTGAGAACAGTCGCCGGCAATCCTCTAGACGGCTTTAAGTCTTGATGGCCCAGTGGTGCCCTTTACCCTTTTATTTTGGTTCTGGGTTCCCTTTTTGAAGTAACCAACCCGCAAGAAGGGGTGCCCTTATTGTAATATGGGTGCTGGGCTAGCATGAAGCACTTGTGTTTTTGCTTAGGGCCCCCCGAGTATTTGCGTTTAAGGGTGTGGGCTTTTCTCAGGAGCAGCTCGGTCTTGCTTGGCAGACTTAGCGGACTTCGTGTCTGAGCCCTGACCCTCAAAAGCTAAAGCCCTGAGGCCAAAGAAATTTGAAGAAACCCTAAACCCTCAACCCTAAGCCCTAAACCCTAAACCCGAAACCCGAAACCCTAAACCCTAAACCCTAAACCCTAAACCCTAACCCTAACCCCTAAACCCTAAACCCTCAACCCTAAACCCTACCCAGAGAAACCCTAATACCCCATCAAGCCATAGAAGTTCAAGACCTGACCAAGAAACCTATGAGCCTCCGAGAACCCTGAGTTTAGGGTTTAGGGTTTAGGGTTTGGGGTTTAGGGTTTAGGGTTTAGGGTTTACGTTTCTAAACCCTAAACCCTTACAACCCTAAGGGGCCCAGAAACCTTTTGACACTCATGTGAGCGCGCGTAACAAGCCTTCATCCCTTACCCCGAGACCCTGTATAGGAAACCCTCCTCTAAACCCCGGTATAGACCTGCCGCTTACAAACCCTTCTGAACAACAGTACCTTGTGTTATTAAACCCGAAATGTCCGATGAATCCTGTAAACCCTGAAAATCCCGAAAGTGCAGATAAACCCTGAAGCCTAATTAAGCCCTAAACCATAAACCCTCAACCCTATACCCTTAACCCTGCACCCTAAACCCTAAACCCTAAACGCTAAACCCTAAACCCTAAACCCTAAACCCTAAACCCTAAACCCTAAACCCTAAACCCTAAACCCTAAACCCTAAACCCTAAACCCTAAACCCTAAACCCTAAACCCTAAACCCTAAACCCTAAACCCTAAACCTTAAACCTAAACCCTAAACCCTAAACCCTAAACCCTAAACCCTAAACCCTAAACCCTAAACCCTAAACCCTAAACCCTAAACCCTAAACCCTAAACCCTAAACCCTAAAAGCCCTAAACCCTAAACCCTAAACCCTAAACCCTAAACCCTAAACTCTAAACCCTAAACCCTAAACCCTAAACTCTAAACCCTAAACTAAGTAAGTGAGGGGTCGCTTCCGTCGAGCGACAGACCCCGAACGCTCGGCCGAGGGCCTTACAGCCCGAGCGCCCAAGCGAAAAGAGAAACGGAAAGGTGAGGGTTAAGCCTCACCGTCTGTCCTGGACAGGCCAACGGACATCGGCCTTTTTTACGACAACGTCAGTACTCGGCTAAGGGATGGCCGGCACCCAGACCACCTTTAGCGTAGCTAAAGTATAACCCCAAATCGTAACCCTTTGGTTCTGGAGGTCGGCCCAGGGTTTTGGGCCCAGGGTTTGTCGGGCCCCCCCCCCCGGGGGCCCCCTGGTCCCTGGTAGCTGGATTCCTGGACCAGGAGGCTGGCGAGGGGTCCAGGCAGGCTGGTTGCTCAATTTCGTGATTTTGGGGGCTTTTTCACATTTCCAGCCCCGGGCCAAGGGCCCCCCGGGCCAAGGGCCCCCCGGGCCAAGGGCCCCCCGGGCCAAGGGCCCCCCAAGCCAAGGGCCCCGGGGGCCAAGGGCCCCCCGGGCCAGGGGTCCCGGGCCAAGGGCCCTGGGGCCAAGGCCCCCGGGCCAAGGGCCCCCCGGGCCAAGGGCCCCCCCGGGCCAAGGGCCCCCCGCGCCAAGGGCCCCCCGGGCCAAGGGCCCCCCGGGCCAAGGCCCCCCCAGGCCAAGGGCCCCCCGCCTGGGGGACCCTTGCCTTGGCGGGGACCTTGGCCCTTGGTTTGCAGACCCTTGCCCTTGGCCGGGGGGCCCTTGGCCCGGGGGGCCCTTGGCCCTTGGCCCGGGGGCCCTTGGCCCTGGGGGCCCTTGGCCCGGGGGGCCCTTGGCCCGGGGGGCCCTTGGCCCGGGGGGCCTTTGGCCAAGGGCGCAGGCCAAGAACCCCCCAAGCCAAGGGAGCCGGCCAAGACCGTCAAGAACCCCCAACAATACGCCCCCTTGGCCTAACACCCTGCCAAGGGCCCCCCCAACCATGGCTCGGCTAAGGGCCTAGGAAGCCCCCAAGAGGCGCCAAGAGCCACCAAAAGCTTCAAAAGCTTCAAAAGGCCCACTAAAAGAAGGGGGACCACAAGATTTGTCCGTGCCCACAATGAGAATATTGAAAACATTGTTTTTAGCCCCTGCCCGCCTTTTAGTATTGAAATCGATGGCTCCCCCTAAATCAGCAAGGACCTCTACGGGCCCACGTGCCGAAGGCCCGAAAAGGACCGAAACTACCCCGAACCCCAGCCTAAACCCTGACACCGCAAAACCCTACGACGGCCTTCAAGCAAATAAGGGCCTCTACGGGCCCTAACGTGCCGAAGGCCCGAAAAGGGCCGAGGCTACCCCGAACCCCAGCTTAAACCCTAACACCGCAAAACCCTACGAAGGCCTTCAAGCAAATAAGGGCCTCTACGGGCCCTAACTTGCCGAAGGCCCGAAAAGGGCCGAGGCTACCCCGAACCCGAGCTTAAACCCTAGCGATTGAAAGACTCATTGGCGAAAAACTCATTAATAGGTTCCCTGACCTTTAAATGAATAAAGCCTCTACGGCCCCTGACACGCCGAAGGTCCGAACAAGGCCCCGAGAGACCCCAAGAGCCACCAAAATGCTTCAAAAGGCTTCAAAAGGCCCCCTAAAAGAAGGGGGACCCCAGGATGCCCGTACCCGCAATGAAAAATGCGATTTTTTGGTAGTGAAATCGATGCTTAATTGAGGCCCTTAAAGAAGGGGAATCCAGGAGCAGACACAAAGG